GCTTACGGGAGTAGTAGGGTACGTAGGTGAAGTGGCTGGCGCCGTCGTTGGTTTGCCGGACCAAGTTGAGGAGCGTGCGCGTGATGTCTCGAGCGACGGTGCAGTTTCCAACGCGGAAAAGAATGAAATGTTTCGGAAGTGGTGGTGGCTGATGTTTATGCAGGCTGGAGAAGTCCTCTAGATACGTCGTGGAGGCTGGCGTGGTATCTTTGCTGCCCACTCGTTTTTGTAGCGGGTGTAGGTCCCCTACGCGGTGGGCACTATCGCGTCGACACCAGGTCCGAATCTCGGCCGGGTCGCGGTGCCCCAACGGGCTCTCGGTTACCAACTCCGTCCCGCCAGAGGCGTTTCCACTTCCAGATCCACTTCCAGGAACAGCTTCTCTTGCCCCGCCACCATTACTGATCGTTGCCGCGGGTTCCCGGTTGGCAGGCGCACAGTCCGCCGGCTCATGGTGACTTGGTTTGCGTTTCTTCTGGCGGAGAAGGACCTGTATAAGAGCTAGACTTGGGTTAGGATTCTCGCCGGCGGCGAATCGCTGTGCGCGGTTCTTAGCCCAAACCGGCTGCAGCGCCTCGGAGCCGTGAGGGAGATTGAATAAATGTTCCACGGCGGTCGTTTTGGGAACGACGATACAGGCAACTTCGCACATATCCGCAATAGCAATGATACATTGGAAGTCTGAATCGCGCACGTGCGGCTCAAATGTTACTACTGCCTGTGTGAAGGTTAACGTTCCCGGAATCATACCTCGACTTGTACAGTAAAACGCTTCTTCACGCCGCCATACTTGACTCCGTCTGTCCGCCGGCCCGCGACTCTTCATCTCGCCACTCTTCACCTCCCCTGCTGCCAAAGCCTCGCGCGCCCACCCAGGTCGTAACGGCAAGTCGCCCCGCTCCAGGAACGACTGCTTCCCTGATCCCGCCGAACCCGGAGCCGGAGCCGCGGCCGCCGAAGGGTGACCAATGCTCGGGGCTGTGGTCGCGGCACCGGTCTCGACTTGCACGCCGGAGGGGGCCGGGGGGACCACGTTGGGCACGGTCTGCGCGGGTAGGCGGTCGCCCGTCGTCGACGCTTCGCACGTAGCCTTCGAGTCTTCGCGGCTAATTAGGTCGTCGCGGCTCACTAAGTCGTCCCGGCTCACTAGGTCGTCCCGGCCCACTAAGTCGTCCCGGCTCAGCAGCTCCTCGCGGCTCAACAAAGCCTCTTCCTTTGTCCGACCTTGGTCCTTGTTACGACCTGGGTCCTTGTTCCGACCTTGGTCCAAGGTCCGACCTTGGTCCTTGTTACGACCTTGGTCCTTGTTACGCTCTTGGTCCTTGATCCGACCTTGATCACCGGACGCAAATTGAACGGAGCCGGCCGGCACCAAGCGGTCGCGTCGTAATGCCGCTTCTAGCGAAGCCGTGCCACCGGCCATAACGCGTTTGCTCGTACACGAAATGGGTTCGGCGAACTCGCTCGACGGCGGCTCGGACCGGCTGGGCACGTACTTGTCCGCGAACGTGCGGAAATGCGCGTCGTACATACCCGCTGATCGCACGTCGAACACAGACACCGAACGACCCTCACCCGAACGCCCCTCAGCCGAGCGACCCAACGCCGAAGGCAGCCCACTTTCCGAATGCGGGAGGCCACGACTCAACAAATTCCTCGCAGACCAACCGCGAGTCGAAGGTCCCGTTGGCTGTCCTAATGGCTGCCCCCCTCGGTATTTACCGCGCAGAGATCCCGCAGGAAGTGAGCCGACCCGCAGAGGTCCTGTCGGCGGGAGAACACTTAACTCGGTCTGGTCGGTCAATGACGGCCATCGCTGACGGGAATCAGTCTGTAGCCCCACACAGTTCTTCAGCCGTCGACCGCCCTCCAGATGGGCGGCGTCTTGCAGATGGGCCGTGTCGTCCCTGTGGGGGCAGTCCCTGTGGGGGCAGTCCCTGTGGGGGCAGTCCCTGTGGGGGGCGTCCCTATGGGGGTCGTCCCTATGAGGGTCGTCCCTATGGGGGTCGTCCCCGTGGGCGTCGTGGTCCTGGTGGGCGACGTCCAGTCGGGCTTCGACCACACTACCCTCCAGTCTGACGTCATCCAGACTACCCTCCAACCGGGCATCGTCCAGACTACCCTCCAGTCGGACGTCGTCCAATCGGACGTCGTCCAATCGGACGTCTTCAAGACTATTGCCGGTATGGTGGACGTAACGGTCGGAGTCCTCGAGGTCGGCAGGGTCTTCAGCTCGCATTGCGACCAACTCTGCGAGGAAGGAGTGGCTGGCGGCATCGCGGGCCCAGGCCTCACGTTCGTCGACCGTTTCGACTCGACCGTTATACGACTTGGGCCCCGACTCCGTCTTGGAGTTCTGCGGGACGCGTCTACCTTCCTTGTGCTTGAAGGACAGGTGCAGTGGACTCGCGGCAAAACTCCAGACGCTTTTTTTGGAGTACTCTCTGCCACCTTCCGTCCGTCCTGCCTTACTTCCCCGAATATCTCTGCCTCCACTCTTCTCGTCTAGGCCTGGACCTCTCTCCCCCGAACCTCTCTCTTCCAGCTGGGCTGCCTCTAACTGGGCTCTCTCCAAGTGGGCCTCTAACTGGGCCGACTTTGGCTTGGCCATGGGGCCGTCCTGATCGGATGGGCCGCTGCTTGTTGCGCTCGGCATGTCGGGGTGTTCCGGAAGAGTGGTGTCTGCTACACCTTCACGACTGTCAGCGGGTAAAGGTACTCGCACACACCCAGATTGCTGAACGTCGTGATCACTCAACTTGGCTTCCCTGCCAGTGGATCTGCTGGATGGCAGATCCGTACGGTCTTTGCTTGTACAGTGGCCCTGGAAAACCTCACCTTATCCCCCCCTCCTGTTGTGATGCATCCCCATTGCAGTGCCTCGCTCCTTCTTGTGCCCCCCCCCCCCTCCCCGACCCCTTGCTGGTGAAGGGTGTGACAACGTGTGCAAGGCTGAAGGGACCGTTGGTGGGAGACGCACTTTGGATTTCATCCTCATGTGGACATTTCTTGATGCCGCAAATACCACCCAGATCGTAGGCGGCAAAGAATGAACCACCACAGCTTAGTTTAGGACTTTGCTCGTCTCCCGCTCGAGGGTACGACGTCGTGGCACTTGGTGGTGACGACTGCCTCAACGCTGGCGCACCTCCCGGGAGCGACTTGCGACTGCCCCTCGGGTCTTCAACCACTTTCACCCACAGGACCGGAAGCTGTGAGGCGAGGGCAAGATGTGATGGTGGGTAATGTGCATGGAGAGGGAGCATCTGACGCTACGAGGCGTCGGGACGGACACGTTACTCTCGTCCACCCGGTCGGTATGGAGGGAGACGGCACGGAGGGAGAGGGTGCGGAGGCGGAGACTGAAGGTGAGGAGGCTCAACTCAGGGAGGCAACAGGTGCTGAGAAGGCCGTCGTGGGTGAGCGTAAGGTGCACGACTGCTTTGTTGCCGACCATGAGGAGTTGGTTAGTCTGTTGCATTTGAAGAATGGGACTGATTTGCTGAAGGGGACTGATTTGCTGAAGGGGACTGATTTGTCGAGGGTGGCGGAGGTTTTGAAGGCGCAATACCTGCGTCGAGTTAACTCGAGTCCGTGCACGAAACTGCCGGGATCTGCTGCAGAGGGAAATAGGGTGACGGTAGTGTTGGAGCTTGCGGCATCCTTGGCAGAAATTGCAACGGACTGCGAGCGGTTGGGGTGTCTGGATCAAGGGAGAGTTATGCACGTTATAATATTGCCTCCTATTGGTTCGATGGTTCCTATCAGTTTGAAAATGGTTTGGGAGGCGTTGTGTTCGGAGATGGAGTGTGCGAAAACGCGGGCGGTAAGCACATCAGATGAGCTGGCGCAGTGGCTTTTAGACGTGGCCAGGATGCTGAACCAGCGGCGGTGTGCGCACATAGCTGGGAAAACGCGCACACGCGATTGTGCACAACCGTGTGCGTGCCCGAAAGACGCGTGCGAGAGGAGGCGGGCAGATCTGCGTCGGTTGGCGGTGGATTCGTTGTCAGCTGCATGCGGGCTGATGGTGGTTGGTGACGCCAGGGTCCGTTCTAGGTTACGTGGGATTATGTTGCGCGAAATTTTTGCGAATGCGTCGTGCGGGTAAAATAATTGCGCCCGATGACTGGCATGGCTATATGGCCTTTTTCGGCTGCTGGTGTTCGTCATTCGGGTCGGATGTGAGTATCACGTTTATCCACGAGTCGTACTTGTGTGATTTTAACGTTTATGCGACGTCGTTGCGCTTTATGCTCGCCCCGCATTGGCCTCCGTGGAAACGAAGAAAAGAGCCAGCGCGGAATCTGGTGCATTCATGGTCACTCAAAGACATTTGGTTCCACAGACATGAAGCGAAAGCGATTGTAGCGAAAGTAAGTCCTCCCCAAATTTTGACCTGGCCAAAACACCAAGCTCAACCAACCAGGCGACCGACTGGCCTATCAATCAATCAACTGATCAATCAACTGATCAATCAACTGATCGGTGTCAAACCGACCAAACGGCGAATGGTGCCCGGACGAAGCTTGTTGTTGTAGTGCATAATGTCGGACTTTGCCAAGGCCCTGCCGTTTGTTTCAGTTCCGTGCTGGTTACGATCACGTCGCGGAAGGGAGTTAATATACCACGACGATATCCGTCGGATTTCGAAAGTGTATGCGGAGTACCCGCAGCTGGTGGGTTCATGGCAGTATGCAGAGTGCAATCGACCGGGTGCAGTTCTAGATATAAGGTTGTTGATTCGGGCGTTCCGGAAAATGATCGGATTAGAAAAATCGACGCAGGTTCCTGTGGTGCTGGAAGGCCTACTGCACTATTTGTGGAAAACGCCTGACTGGCGGGATCTGAGAGATTCAGCCCCTGGTCCTTCTTCTGGTGGCCCGTCTTCTGGTGGCCCGTCTTCTGGTGGCCCGTCTTCTGGTGGCCCGTCTTCTTCTGGCGGTATCTCAGGCGGCGGCACCTCAGGTGGCGGTTTGTCGGGCGGTGGTCCGTCGGGCGGTGGTCCCTCGGGCGGTCTGTCTTCTGACGAGTACCTGTGGCGCAAGGGCATTGCGTCCGTGACGTGTCGGTTACCAACGTGTATTGTATGGGAGGCACGTCCGTGTTCGATTCTGTTCAAGACGAGGCGTGGCGAGGTGACACGGTTGAGTTGGGCGCAGTTGCCGGGAGTGTTTTCGCCCGAGGTGGGCGACGTATCGCGTTGGCTGGGCGACTGCGAAGGGCTTGACTTATCAGTGCTACAGCGTGAAAAGATTGACTACTCCAAGACACGTGAGCGCAATGTGATATGCAAAAATGAGCCCGTAGGTGTCATCGAGATCGTCTGCGAATACGAAGGCGGAGGCGCACCCCATAACGTCGGGCATTTGCTCGATGAGATGCTCCTCGCCTTCGTAGTGAACATGCTCTTCTCGCAACACGGCCTCAACAACGGAATTACACCTAACGTTTCTCTCGGTGAATTTGCCGTCCGCCAGACGTACTCCAATTACTGCGAAGAACGAGATCTCGCTCACGAAGGCGGCCCCGCACGACTCGAGAAACTCCTAGGCGTCGCCGATGGGGTCCTCACCAAGACCCTCGAACCGGACGAGGAAACCCACGAATTTTATGCCATCATCGATAACTCTCAAAATGAACTCGACGACCACAACCCTTATGACCTTGGTCCGTGCGAACTCGGTCCGTACGACCGTGGCCCACAGGGCCACTACCATGGCCCACAAGGCCATGGTCCCCATGACAATGATCCCCATGACAATGACAAATCTCCATACAAGGGCGGCGCAAACGTGGATAAACACACGAGTGACCATTCTCGTCCCACCGACCGTTCTCGTCTTAGTGAGCGCAACCAACGAAAATTCCAAGACGACGACCGAACTGGTGACGACCGAGACGGCCGAGGCGCCTCTTCCCCTTCCGGATCTCGACGACCCGCAGACAGAGCTTCTTCAGATCGAAACCCCTCAGAGCGAGTCTCTTCGGACCGGAACCCTCCCGATCGAGCACTATCTGACCGAACAGTGTCTGACCGAACCGTGTCTGACCGGGTCTCGGATCGAACTTCGGACAGAGCACCGTCGGATCGAACGACTCCCGACCGGGCCTCGGACAGAGCCTCGGACAGAGCCTCAGACCGGCCGTCGGATCGGGGCTTGGAGCGGATGCACCGTAAAGGAAACAACAACTTCCAGGAGAAAAGGTTCCAGGAGAGATTTGGACGTGGGAACAACAGGTCAGACAGAACGTCTGGCGCAAGACGAGGCGGATGCAGACCCGGCGATAGGTTTGGCGACCGACCGGGTGATCGACCAGTTGAGCAACCGGGAGACCGACCGGGTGACCGGCCGGGTGACCGACCGGGTGACCGACCGGGTGAGCGGCCGGGTGATAGACCGGGTGATCGATCCGGTGATCGATCGGGTGACCGACCAGATGACCGGCCGGGTGACCAACCGGGCGGCCGATCGGGTGACCGACCGGGCGAGGGGTACAGCCGACCGACAGGCGAGGAGCGAACGGGCGACGAAGCTAACTCGGAGTTGCGTGCGGAGGCCAGGAATCGCGACCAGGCGGGCTCGCTCGACCGGCAGGAATTTCAACCACGCGTTGGTTATGTGCGAGGTGATGGACCCCGGACACGGTCCGATGAGTTTCGGGATGCTGGCGAACCTGAGAGCACTGGCAAGCCGCCCAGTCCGAAGCGTTGCTTCCCTGATCCGCATGATGCAACCGCTCGGAAGGTACCGCGAGTCTCTTCCTCTACTGCTCTGGGCCTGACCATCGCCACCTCCTTTATGCCCTGGGTTGCCGACCCGTCTTTGACCTGTCCCACGACGACCAGCACCATAATGACTAGTCCGACTCTGACGGATCACTCGGTGATCGGTCCCGCACTGACTGGCCAGCCGGTGGTCGGCCAGTCAGTGGCGGGCCATTCTGTGGTCTCGTCTTCGTGGGGGCAGGGAAGCTCCAATGTCTGGGGGACTCCCGTCCCGGCTTCGCTGAGTGAGCTTCCACGACCGGGTCCCGAGGATCTGTCTACGGGAACACTGACGGATCAGGACGTCGGAGGGGCACTGACGGAAAAAACCATCAGCGAACTCTTGGTGTCCGAGTTGGGGGAGAAGGCGTTCGACACCATCCACTCATTCTGGCATACAATTAGAACATCCGAAGATGCGTCTGCCTACAACATCGTTAAGGTAAATACAGGAGGTCGCCCTTCCCTTCCCCTTCCTCGCAGTAAACCTCCGCGAGCATTGGCGGCAAATATTTCTACTTTATTTAGTACTTTGGCAAGACCGGGTTTATCGTGACAAACTTCGGTCACCTATTCGAGATCTACCACCGACGTTCCTCTACGGCTGCGTCCGAGACAGCGAGGTTGCCCGAACTCGAGGGCTTTTGTTCGCGCGAACAACTCGCCTACTTGCGAAACGTTCTTGGCGCCGTGCACAGCTTACTGACCACCGACTTGGCCTTCGAACTGCATAGTAGCATGCCCATCCGTTGTGCGCTCACTTGGGGCGCAGTGCAAGTTCACCTGTCCACCATCGCGCACTACAAGCTCATGGCCCTAATGGACATCCTTGACCGGTATCAAAACAGAGTGGCTCGATTCGACAACGCAGCAGGTGAGGCAGGCTCCACACGACCTCTACACGTGCACATGGTACACGTGGTTGACACCGGCCCTCCTTAGTGCTTGCGGAAGGATGGCAACGATTGGAATCGGTGATCCGAGACTGTGCGGCAATCAAGGTGAAATCGCCCTGGCAAGTTTTGGATCCTTTATGCCAGGGTCCGGCCTGGGATGTTTGTGCGGCTGACAACATGAAGCGAGAGTGGTTGCAATTGATAATTTACGCTATAATGAAACGATGCCCGCACTTGTATGGGCAAGTGAACCCGTTCTCTATGGGTTCTCCTCCGGCTCCTGACCCTCCATCTGCACAGACGGCGTTCTCGCCCAACGCGTTTCCTACCCAGGCGTTCCCCAAACCAGGAGGCCCCGGAGGAACCTGGGTGTCGAGCGATAATTATTCAAAGGGTACTAATGGTACCTCAGACTTTACCCCCCGCAATACCCCCCACAGTACCCACAATACCTCCCCCAATACAAACGGTGGCTCAAACGGTCCGCTCGGCGAAATACCAGGAAATGCCTCTTTGGATAAGGTGGTTATGGATAAAGCCAGGAATTTAGATAAAATTAAAAGTTTGAATGCGGCAAGAAGTCTGGATGGAGCAGACGTGGATGGTCGACCTTGGACGGGCAAGGCTGCGCCAGCCGGTTCTGGTGCAGATCCACTTAATTGCCCGGCGGTCGGAGGCTTCGAAGACCCGAAGCTGGAACAGTGTCCGTGGGCAGTGGATCGCTCGGTAATGAGCGCACAACGTCCTGGCGGGACGCCGTCCGAAGGCGGCTTTCCGGCATATAACGCAGGCGACTTTCTGCGATCTGTTAGTGGGACTAGCAGCCACGCAGAAGTCACCGGCAACCCTGACACCGGCAACGTGGTCCCCGGCCGCGGGGGTGCAGGGAGCCCAAAGGGCGTCCCGGGCGGCGGGAACTTGATATGTACTAACGGCAGCGCAAACGGGAGCGCAAATGGCAGCGCACATGGAAGCCCAAACGGGAGTGCAAACGCGGATGGAGCAGGACCGCGATCAATTTCGGCGGAAGAAGATATCTGGTGCCCGTTCGAGGAGGAAGAACAGACCCGAGAGTGGCTGTTCAGTGGCCTCTGGAACCAACTAGGCAGCGTAGTGGGCGAAGACCCGCGGTCACAGATGAAGGACGTGCTCCAGCTGATCTTGTCTGAAGTCTGTCCGATCTCGCAGTGGGGTCCCATCATGTTGACCAAGCTGCGCCTACGGCAGGAATTGGACAATAGCCAATGGCGTCAAAACGCAGCCCAATATCTCGACGCCTACGCCAACGGGCCCTGTGCGGGCCCGTGTCTGCCAACCGCCGCCGCTATCGGCGGCGCATCCTACCTAGGCGCAGTTCCAGGAGGTGTCCCAGTTGGAGGAGGCGGTGGAATTCCAGGAGGCGGTGGAATTCCCGGAGCCGGAGGATGTCCAGGAGTGTCGGTGGGAGTCGGGAGTGACGTAGTGGGCGAGATGGTGGGGTTCGAACAGACGGCACGGTTCGAGCCTGGCTACCTCGAGGCGGCTCCTCTGTTTTCGGCGCGGACGCCGGGGAACTACGCCGTGACGGGTGGGGGTTCACCTCCACAGGGCGCGGCGGCAGGTGACAGTTTCCGGAGCAGCGGGCCCGTA